GAATGCCGAATGCTATGTTTATTTATTGTGGTTTATATAGAGAAAATTCAAAAGATGTCACGAGTTTTAGCTAAATTCAAAATTTTTTAACATTTATTGTTGTATTTTTAATAATCTAAAAAGTATCCCTATAATTTTTAGATTATCTCAAAATGTTTCCAACGTTTTTTCAAAGAGTACAAAAATAAACCTTTAATTCTACAACATTTTTGAAATACCAAAAATAATCTTAATAGGTACTGTTTAGATATTATTTAAAATATTAATTATGTAAAACTTTTAAAACATAAATTTTAAAACAAAATATAATTAAAAAAATAGAGCCAGTGTATTTTAATGACGGCATAATAGTATTAAATATAAGGATGAGACTGATTTGATAAGTTTAAATCCAGTAATTGTGTACCTATAGTGAGGGCGTGAGATTATGTATGGAATTAGACAATTTGATTGGTTAAGTTTCCAAAAACATAGAATTTTTATTTTATTGAAAATTTTACATTTTTTTTAAATTTAATTTCTTAGTTATTAGTTTTTAAGATAACTTTTAAATTATATGCTACTTCTTTTAAAAATTTAGAGTATAATTTTGTAATTATAAATATTAATTAAATATTCATCATAAATATTCATCACATAATTAAATATTAATTATGTAAAACTTTTAAAACATAAATTTTAAAATTAAATAAAATCAAGAAAATAAAACTATCGTATTTTAATGACTGAATAATAGTATTAAGTATAGAGATGAGACTGATTTGACAAAGCCTAAATCCATCAATTGTATATCGGTTGAGTTTTAGATTTTTTTCAAATACATAGAATTTTTATTTTATTGAAAAATTTACCTTTTTTTAATTTAGTTTCTTAGTTATTAGTTTTTAAGATAACTTTTAATCATTAGCTATTAATATTATTTCTGTCATTTTCAAGGGTTATATGTTACTTGTTTTAAAAATTTAGAGTATAATTTTGAGATAATTTAAAAATATAAGGTATATTTTTTAGATTATCTAAAATACAAAGGTAAATGTTGGATTTACCTAAAACTGAGAAGGTACTTTTTGTATTATCTCGGTTTATACACTATGTTGAAATTATCCCTGATGTTTTGCAAATCTCTTTAAAGACATTCTTCAGAAATTATAGGGACGTTTTAAAATTATTTGAAAAACATATGGGAAGAGTAATATTTTTAAGAGTATAGAATAAAGTGCAACATCTTTTTTTTTCTTGTTTTTTGAAAAATAAAGTGCAACATGTTGATTAGATGGATTATAATTTTTGTTAGAATCTCTTTATAATATAATATTATGTAACTTTACCATTTTTGTAAATTAGTTAAAAATTTAAGGTTCACTCTTATATGTTCTAAAGTATAATAATTATTGCATAAACCATTTTTCAAATTATTTAAAAATTTAAAGTTTACTTTTACATGTTCTAAAAAGTTTTAATAATTCTATTAAAAAGTAAAATACAACATTTTAAAATAATTTATACCTTATAGTACAAAATAGAACAACACAAAAACAAATCGTTTTTCCATTTTTTGTGTCAAATATATGTTATTGATATTGATATTTGCAATATTGGAGATAGCCTTAGGTTTACTTTTTTAATATTATATTAAAAAAATTGCTTGATTATTTGATTTTTTAAGAGAAATTGAAAAAAAAAAAAACATAATTCTCTTAAAATTTATCTCTTTCAATGAATGTATACATAATAAAAGAAATTGAGGACAAACTCATATAGCATTTAAGAAACGACATTAAACATGAATCTTTATGCGGCACTCTACTATATATTTTAATTTTTATAATGATTGCAATACACTTTTTTCTTAGGGACAGTGATTGCAATACTCGATTTTTTAGACATTTTTTGGTACGCCAACGTATCGGTATGTCAAGTTTTATGTCCATCGAATCTACATAAAATCGCATAAAAATTAAAAAGTACGCAGGATTAAAAAATCATAACATAGTGGTACGTCAAGCGTACCATAGAATCTCTCTGATTTTTTGCTGAAAGAATGCAAAGCTTGATCATTAATCTTTACTACAAATGCTCAAGCCTTCTATAGTTTCTTTTTTTTTTTGGTTAAATAAGCCTTTTGCAATTTGGACTTTAGGGTTCGTTTGGTATGAGGGTTTAAATCAAGGTGATTTTAATTTTTATTTTGGAACCAGAATCATGGGTTTGAACCACCCAAAATCAAGGGGAGTGATTTTAAAATTAAGGGCGATTCACAGTTTAAAACATCACATCAAAATTCAAACCTTGAATCATAACCATCCAAACTAAATACTGATTCAGAGTGAGTCAAATCAGAATCATTTTTTACTTTTTATAA